GGGTGGTGGCCCGACGGCCGCACCCCAGTCCCTGCCAGAATGAGGGGGACCCCCCCACACCCCCCCACCCACCCGGGGACCGGCCCTCCTCCTCCTCCTCCTCCTCCCTGGGCGGGCGGCGTGTCTGAGAGGAGGAGGAGGAGGAGGAGGAACCACCGGCTGCTCTGGCGGTATAGCTCTCCCGCTGGGAGGAAAGAGGCCTGCCTGCCTGCCTGCCTGCCGGGGGGGGGGGGCTGGAGGGCTGCCGCCTCCTCCTCCTCCTCCTCTCGCGCCGGGCCCAGTGGTGGTGATGGCCGTTGCCCTTTGTGCAGGACGAGAGGGTGCCGTGCCCCTATGATGACCACCACCAGGTCCCGAAGGCCTCCCTGGAAAAGCATCAGGCGTCCTGTAGGCTGAGGAAACGGGGGCTGCCGCCTCCTCCTCCTCCTCTCGCGCCGGGCCCAGTGGTGGTGATGGCCGTTGCCCTTTGTGCAGGACGAGAGGGTGCCGTGCCCCTATGATGACCACCACCAGGTCCCGAAGGCCTCCCTGGAAAAGCATCAGGCGTCCTGTAGGCTGAGGAAACAGGCCTATTCCAAAGCTGAAGAGGTAAATGCGGGGTGTTTTTTTCATGTTCTTTCCTTTTCATGGCTATTCAGGTTATGAAAACGTCCCTGCAGTGATTGTGGGGCTGGGAAAATAACATTTTAACCTATGCTGAGTATTTGAAATCTCTTGAGAAAACATCCAGCATATGACCGTCTAAGCAGAGTAGATAAAACTAATTTTAAAATTGGGTTCTTAAAGCTAAAAAAATTAAATGATCGTATTGCGTTTTGTGTGGTATAGCCAGGAGATCCTAGGATTGTCTGGCAGCCTGAAGCTCTGGTTTGTTTTTTTTAGCATTATACCGCGAGGTAAGCTTATTTTGGGGGGCTGGAAGACCTGTGACTGACCCAAGGTCACCCAAATGGGCTCCAGGCGTAGGAGGGTGGAATTGGACCTGGTTCTCCTGATTAGAGTCTGTCACTTTTAACCACTGCCCCACACTGGCTCCCTAGGGGTGGTTAAAATAGAGAAGAGGGGTTTTTTTTTTAAAAAAAATATTGTCTTAGTATTGTGGCTAAAAACTGAACTTGAATTTGTTTAAGCCTACCCTTAAAATCTCTTAAAACTGGAATCAAATACCTTGACTTACGGCTTTTCTATGTAAGGACAACGCTAGGGGGGAAAAGTCTCACCTGTGAAAGTGAGTGTCATAATGGCACAAATTATCACTGGTATTAGGATTTGTAAAGTAACAACCTGTTACCCCTAAACATGTCTGAGTGATCGTGTTTTCCTTATTTTACATTCTCCAGCTGGCTGAGCTCTGCTTTATGTCCAGTTTTTAAGTGGCTACTAGCCACAAGGTATAGATAGGGACTCTGGGGCAAGTGATGCTCTGTCATCTTGGTGCTTGGGGGGGGGTCAACAGTGGGAGGGCTTCTAATGTCCTGGCCCCACTGGTGGACCTCCTGATGGCACTGGTATTTCTGGCCACTGTGGGATACAGAGTGTTGGACTAGATGGAGGGCCTGATCCAACATTGGCATCTCTTATGTTCTTAAGTTATGAACATTTGTAAGTCTGGTGAACCAATAGAATGGGCATTCTCTTTTGTTCTCTTTAAGAGATGCTATCTTATCCAACAACTGTCCGTTACTTTTCTGGAAAGTTTTAGACATCCACAAGCATATCTTCTTTGCATTTCATTGGACTTCCTTCAAAATGAATGTGCACAAAGTTGCAGACTTGGTTTTGTGTCATGTTGCTTCATAGCAATATGTACAGAGGGGGCACCAAACAGATTTCTGTTTCTTGTCTCTAAGTAGATATAATTGAATTACACCATAAGTGGTTTAAAGGCTTTGTTTAGTTGCAAGCAAATATATTTTTGTTGTAACAGCAACCAGTTGGTTATGTATGCTTGTTCAAGAAATACATGAATGGGACACTGGTATGGAACTACTTATTGAAATTGGTCTCTTGTTTGGTAGTACAGTCATTCCATGTTTGCTTGCAAGGGTGCTAACAAAGGTGACCTAAAGAACTATAAAATACAAACAGTAAAACCAATTAAAAGTGCAACCTAACAATGTAACTTGAAAACCAAGGGTTAGTGCCAACTTTCATTTTCCGCTAGCAGAAAGATAGTGGGGGTGGGAGGTATTCTGCGGTTTTCCTGTCCTGCTGCAGACTAAGGATTAAGAACATACCTGTATTGATTACATTGCATCAATGAATGACACAGATGATTACAGTGTGGCTTGATTTTGATGTATCTTATTTTCCAGGCTGAAATGTATGATTCTTCTTTTTTCTATGAAAAAGTAAAGATACCTACTATTCTAATGGGTGAGTTAGCTATATAATGGCTCCGGTCACACGGTCCGGAAAATGCGGGGGGGAAGCGTGGCTCTTTGCCCCGGAGCAAAATAACGCGCAGCTGCGTGATCAGACGTCCCCTCGAGATCCCGTGGTTAGGGGGGAGGTGCCAATCACACGACACGGCAAAGAAGCGGCGCGGCAAACGGGGTTGTGTTTTGTTTTTAAACTGAAGTGTGCGCATGCACCGTTGGGTGCTTGTGCGCATTCCGTGGAGACTTGGAAAAAAACCTTTTCGCATGTCGTACCCCACCTCCACCCACGAACCCCCTGCCTGCTCCATGGCCTTTCCCTTGAGTCCCCCCCGTCGTCAGCCCCCCCCCCCGGCACCCTGGCC